GTGATACATCTTCACGCTATTTCGCCGGTGAATTTTGTAGACAGAAGGATCTACCAACGTGACGGCGATTCTCGTTGAAAAAAAAAAAAACGACAAAGAGGACACGGAAAACGATGTGGAAGAGGGAAGGTAGCTTGCAACCCCGCAGGCGGTCGCGGCGACGTTATTTATTGCTCGGGCCGATGAGTGTCATTTAAAATTTCGATATAAATTAATTTAAGGGGGTAAAGGGGGTTTCCAGGACGGTCGCAGTGGTACGGGGCGTAATGGCTCGGAAAATGAAGTTCTTGTAGCCTCACCGAGAGAGAATCTCGCTCGCCGTCAGCCCCCCGGCCCTCCTGTCCCTCCGCTCTAGCACCCTTACGTCTCTTCGCCACCTCGAGCGTGTGCCGTCCCTCTCCATCCTCCCGCGCTTCCAACCTTCAACTTCATCCCCTTTCATCCTTCCATCCCGTTCCTCTCTGCTCTTATACCTCCGGTCTTACCCGTTCGCTCGCTCGCTCGCTCGCGGAGACTCAACATTGCCTGGTGAAATATCCCTTTGCCTCCGCTCCGCCAAGCTTCTATCCACGCCCAAGCACTCCGCCTCGCCATTATCTTAAGTAAACAGACTACCTGCGCGCCGGGGAATTCGAGATAAAGTCACATGTTATCAAAATCCACCCCCGGGCCGCCCCCCGCAGCCCTGCCGCTCGCTCGCGGCCGCCCTCAAAGCGTCCTCCGAGCGCGTAGCCTGTCGTTAATTCCGTTAAGTCGCGGCCTTACGTTCAACGCGGCAAGCAGCAGCCTGCGAAATCGCTCGATTCTGGAGAGCGACGGCGCGCGGCGCGCGCTGCTTCTGGCGGAAGTCGAGTGTGTTCTAATGAGGAATCTCGAAATGATATCGGCAGTCGCTCAGACGGACCTCACCCCGTTTTGCGCTCGTCGCATTTATTACGTCTCGATTAATCGCGAGACACTTTCACGCCGATAAGATTTCACGAGAATATTCGCTCGACGAGAAGATCCGGATGATTGTTCTTATATTATCGGCGTGTCATCTTTGAAAGGGATTTACGCCGATCATCCGCATATTTTCGATAGAAAAATTCACCGCGACTCTCCGACTCTTCAATCGACTTTCCATGTAAAATTTCCTGAGCTTATTTAACTACATGATGATATGTTTTGAATGAAATTTTAAAGTAAATCACGTTATATATCATGTTATTGAAAATATAACAGAACGCGGTATTCTTTCATGGGTTTAAAATCAACTTCTTCTCAGACAAAATTACGAGGTACATACTTATTAATAACTTTATTATAACTTTTTGATATATGTCACTACCTTTAGTAGTTGCATTAAGAATCACAATACTGTTTTTTTTTTCTTACTTTACGAATGAAAGTATTCTTAAAGCCAACTAATTTATGTTTTATCACAGAGAGAATGGATTTAAAGAGATTAAAGTTAAAAAAACTAACCATCGTAGTCCGACGTGTGCATTATTATAATCAGCTTACAGAGATCGGGCAGATTATGTTTCAGTTTCACTTGGGTTCAGAAATAAACTCAAGAAGAAAGACGCAGAAAGATATAAACTGATAAGACCGTATGAAATTTGCAGCAAGTTTTTTTTTAAATATAATTACGATGCGTGAAGAGAGGAACGAAAAGTAACAGAGATTCTCACGTAGTAGGATTCTCTCTCATTCTCGCATTCAATCTCTTCAACCTCGGAAGATCGTAAGTATTCCCGGGGTGTCTAGGCATGTCGCATGAGGCCAAGAATTGTAGGTATGTGGCTCCAGTGTCCTAGTATGGCCGCTACAATCGGAGTGGCACGCGCCCTCGACCACCCACCCCCTCCTCCGTGTAGCGTCCCAAAGCTTCCTTAACATCCCTCTAGGACCTCCCACGGGACCTCGTCCACGACGTCGACGACTAGACTAACCCCGAAGAGCGATTCCCCAGCACTTCAGCGATTCCCGAGAACGCATCCCCGCCCGTAGTCGTCCCCTGTCTCCCTGACCACTCCGCGCGAATACCCGAAGACGAACGGCTGGATACCGGATGCACACCGTCGCAGGCATTCCCGCGGATACGGTGGATATGCCGCGGGGAACGCCGAAAGTCGGTTTGCTCGCAATCTAGTCATACCGGGGTGCGTGCTATTCTTTCTCTTTCATTCATTTCATCTATTTATTTATTTTTCAGTGTACGAAAATCAGAGATCTCCCGACAAAATCAAAAATTAAAGTTCAGTGAAAGTCAATTGCAAATTAATGTTGTTTAAAGAGCAGATTCTTGCTAAAGATCTTAATTTTCTTTCAGCGCAAGAATTTTTAAGATATTAGATTGAAAAGTACTTACTTACAAGTTCAAAAAGTGCCTAGCAAAACTTAAAGTGCCCTTAACCACAGCATTCTACAAAATGTCGCAAACTTAATTGCTCCATTTTTATTGCTTATTAATTCTGAATCAATGAATAAGAATACAATTTATAAATTGCTCCTATTTATTTCAATCTTAAATTTTGACCTAATCGTAAGGAATATTATTTTAATAAATAATTGTATATCTAAACTGTGCTCGCAAATTCTCTCAAGCACATTACTGTGATCAAATTTTCAGCTAATATCAACAATTTCTTCGCGCGTACATTATTTTTTAAACCCTTTAGAATTGCTAAGTTATTGATATAAATCTTCTCTTTAAGAAAAACAATGTACGCCAAGAAGTTGCTGTAATTTCAAAGGAAACTTTGATCAATAGTAGTGAAAAATGCGATTGAGAGAGAAAAAATTCGCAAAACTAGAAAACTAGAAAAATTTGCAATTTAGACATTTATTAGGCATATAATATTCCAAGCTTAATTATATAAAAATCTTGGATTAAAGTAAACAGCAATTGTATATTCTTATTTATCTGTTTGTAAAATTTGTAAAAAATGGAAATAAAATAATTAATTTTAAGACATTGTATATACGAGCTATTCAGAACTAAATTCATAATTTGTTTCATTTTTAACATAAAATCATATACAAAGTAAATTCTATAAATTACGTGGACTTAGTCCACATTCTAATTTTAATTTCGCAGTTTGCACAGTTTTACTTGTAAAAATTTTAATTTATGTAAATCACGCACGTTATGAAAGCGACATTCATCCTTATTCAATCGTTACCATCGCGCATCTCTAGCTATGTCGTGCGCGGAATTATCAGAGGAGGTATAAGCTTGCCGAGGCACAAAAAATAATATTGTATCTTGGAACGTCGTAGGAAACAGAGAAACTTGAACGATGGTATTTAAGAATTTTCCGTACTTTTTCTTCACGATTATGGCCACAGCGTGGAACTCATGGCACGCCTCTGCATCCCCCTCCTACGTATAAACCCCGGGGAGAACGCATTCCCATCTATCCCTCCGCCCTGTATATCCAAGGACATCCAGCTGAATGCCGGAGGAACACCATGCCATACATTCTAATGGAAATAGAACGTTCGCCGGACTTTTATGACGTCGCTCCCTCAATCGCGTAATGTATAATATTGTTTCAATGCTGATATTAAATTTTGTTTAATTCTCAAAAAATATATTGTATCATATCTCTAATCGTTTTAATTAATTATTCCTTCTTAGTTATTACAATTAATCCAAGCAGTGTTATTAAAAAGCTAATTATATTAATAAATTTATTCTGATGTAACATCTTGTAAAAGACAAATCTAATTATTTAAAATTTTAAAAAGTACTTCAGTTTAAGATTTAAAAAATTCTTTAGAAAGATTGGGAGACATACATAAAATTATATACAGAAAATAATTTGTAATTTTAGTAGATATTCGTTTGTGAGAACGTATATAATTGAAATATAAAATTAGAAGTATGATACGGAAATGAGACATATTCATGCACGGTCTTCATAAACTTTTATAATTGCGTTTACTATAAAATTGCGAGATAGCATTTTTCTCGGTTTTTTCGTGACGCCAGCACATTCAAAGTATATTGCACGCCCATAATCGCGCTCAAGCGAAGTTGTGTGGTCACGAAATCTCAGTGCCACTTACAACAACGGCGCGGCGCGGCGTAACAAATATCAATAAATAATATCGAAAAAGTATCGAATAAGTATCACTTCATAACTCACCGCAGCGGCAATCCCCATCCTGGTTATCTCGTCCCCCCCCCCCCCCCGTCCTTCCGTTTTCTCATCTCCGCGTAGATAATTCCCCGTTCTCGTATCCGGGCCGCTTTCGTCTCGTTTCAATATCCGGATTCTGGAAAGAAACGCAAAACGAAACCGTGATAATGGCGACGCGAGAGCAGCGATTTTCCATGAAACCGTGATCCGCGCCAATCCTATCGAAATCGGCGCGCGAGACGTGCGCTTTTACGCCAGGAGGATGTAATAGATAATGAAAAAGGCGTTCAATGTAAGATTAGATACCTGTTAACGCCAATTTGCGAATATTCTCCAAAAATTCGAGCCGCGAAATCAAACGGCGTCATTCACCGACGAGCCCGCCGAGCCGGCGTCGCCGCTCGCCGCCGAGCGAAGCGCGCGACCGTGGCGCGATCTCGCGCCTCTCGCGGTAATCTTCCTGTATTATCGATCGTAACTTGGCGCGCTGACGATAATCGTTCGATTCGCTACAAAACGAATAAATTTATGCAATGGAAATGAATAATTAATTTTGTTATTCAGCTTTTACTTTAACAAAGAATCTAGATTGTATTAATTTTAATGAAATATTCATAATCGATTTAGCTTCAATAGAAATTTTAAATGAACAATCCATGAAGGTCTTTACAATTAATCTTTTAATTACATTTTTAATATTAATTTATACATATTAATTTAAAATTATAGTGCTCTTATTTTCCAATTTAAGAACAGTAGGAATTTTAGATAAATGTTATATTCTGCACTAATTAGTTCAATATTTAATATTAAGAATATGTTTAAATTTTTTGGATAAAAATATATATATTTATCTTTTTTTTTAAGGTAGGTAACTGCAGGTAGAGAGACATCACCGCTTGTCAGACGAATTCTACATTGTTGCAAAAATGGGGAAGATACACGAGCGTCGTCTGGAACAGCCAACGCCGAACGTATCTGTGGGAAAAGTCATACTCGACAAGTTGCGCCAGAATGGCGATCGTGTTTATGCAGTATGTACATACATACCGTGATTACGAAACGCGTGGTAGCAATTGCCAATTTACGAGCCGATCGCCTGCGAAATTTGGCGATGTAATAACGGAGCGTGCCAAAACAACGAAAGTTTTTTTGTAACTCCATCGGCGCGCTAGCCGGAGGTGAAATTCGCGAATTCTATCTCTGAATTTTTCCTGTCGCATTATGCGATTATGCATCGCTTATAACGATTGGTCCTCGACCTAACCTAACCTGTTCACGTCAAATTTTTATGTTAATTCCCTTTTAAGCTCCAAGTACTAGAAACTTGAAAGATTTTTTTTTTATAATAATAATATTCGTCGTTGAAAAAAGCGCGGCGATATTTAATCAATTATACATTCCAGGTAGCAGAGTGACGTCAAATGACGTATTAATAACGTCTTAATGACGTCAATAAAAGACGTCTTTAGACGTCATCCTGTATGTGTGCTATCTGGGATATACTATATCTCACAATTATAAAAAATAATGTATTTTTTTGTAGCTATATATTATTAAACGTTACAATTTTTTTAAACTAAACAAAATATATTTGTAGTTAAATTTTAGTATAAAATTTTCGAATATAACTGCTTTTTTACAATATACATTATACCGTGTGTTTTAAAAGATACTCATTTAACGCATGAAGTAAATCATAAACGGGATATTTTTTCTTTCTGATGTAGAATATCTTGTATCGACAATTGTAAAGAGATATTATTTCTTTATAGATAGACGGACCAACCGGCAATCGGATGACATATAGCGAACTGCTCGAGAAAAGCGTGAAGTTTGCGAACTTTTTACAAAAATACGGGATAAAAATCGGGGACAGAATTGGCATCGCAACTGAAAATCGATTGAATTGGTTAATACCAGCTTGCGCGAGCTTTTATCTCGGCGCTATAGTAGCACCGTACAATCCAATGTATACGGAATGTAAGTAAAAGAATTACTATTTAATATTAACGCATACATATATATGTATATGTACATATTGTCTAAATTTTCTTGCAAAAGTAATCACGAAACAATGATTTCCGAAGTGAGGTTTATGTTATATCAACAAGTAACTTTAATTCACTTTTAGTATATACCTAAAGTATAATGTAAGTAGTTATCCATGCAACATCTGCTCAGCTTAAACGCCAATTGATTTTAAGTGTTTATTGTTAGATGAATTCCAACACGTATTAAGTATTGCAAAGCCACGCATTATTTTTGTATCTCGGCGCACCGAAAATCTTTTCGTCAAAATGCTACCAAAATTATCCTGGAAAGTGGAACTAATAGAATTGGACGATCAACCGCTCACGGCAAACGTCCGTACGTTGACGAATATCTTAAATAACGAACCAAGTGTAGACTACATGAGATATAAAGCCGCAGATATCGGTGACGCCAGTCGGCATCCGTTGACTATTCTATGTTCGAGCGGAACCACGGGGTTGCCGAAAGGAGTAACGCTATCTCATAAAAATATAATGGCGTTTTTCACGAAAATAAGGTAAGTTTTACATACATCCATTAGTTAATATATTTTCAAGCGATAAAACTGATGTGTATTGTATTTAATTAAAAATGCGTTGAACATTTAGTTTCTCAGTAGGTATTTAAATTTAACACAAAATATAACACCATACCATTACTTCAAAAGTAGCATTTTGTAAAAGCTACCTTTAACCGTAATATATGTTAATGCTAATTTTAACTTTATAATTGAATCGCAACACTGTGCGTGTACAATCGTCCAAAAAGATAATGTGCCATTTCCTCGCTTGAAAACACGGTCAAGAATCTGATTTTGTAATTTAAATATGATTTGAAAACGCAGCAAGCCCGAGTACTTGGATATAAAAAAGGGTGATAGAATACTGATGGTGTTGCCGTTTTATCACGGCTACGCGATGAGCACGACGATACTCGGTATTTATACGAGCTGCACCGTGATCGTGATGCCCGCCTTCGAGCCGAAACTCTTCCTGACCCTGGTGCAGGAGCACAGGATCACCCATCTGCCGCTCGTGCCGCCGATCCTGACGTTCCTGGCGAAACACCCGCTGGTGGAGAAGTACGACTTTCGCAGCGTGAGAGAACTCATCTGCGGAGCGGCGCCGGTTGCGAAGGACGTAAGTTTTCTTCTGTCATCGTGAAGTTTGTCGTTCCCCCCCCTCCCCTCCCTACTTACCGAGCCCTTCTCGGCCAAGTTATCACGGCAAGAAAAGCAGCCATCGGCGGGACTAAGTGCCGAAGTGAGTCCTCGATGCCGCGCGGCTGCGGTGAGAGGATCGAACGAAGGACCGCGAGAGGAAGTCTCGAAGAGTCGTCGCATTTTCACTAGACACGGCCCGGGGAGTAACTTTATCGCGTTCGTTTTTGTTTAACCGGTTCGCGGAGTCTCGCTAAGGAGGAGTAGGAGGAGAAGAAAATAAAAGGCCGCACTCTCTCGCGAGTTCGCAATCGCGAGTCTTTCGGAAAATGCGAAACTGATCTCTTATCGGCGGACAGGGCGAGGGAAGGGCTCTTAAAGTTTCGAAAACCAAACACGCCTCTGAACTTAAATGTCCTCCGAATGCCGCTTTCTAGTTGGATATCGTTGCTTTTGTTTCCCGCATGATTGAGAAACAATTGCGGCCGGATAAAAGGAGTACTGAAAACAAGAGAAAGAATCCCGTATATATACGTTAATTCTTTGAACAAAATTCATATTGCTAAATTCTATTTCTGTAATAATAGTTAAAAATAATTCTTCTTATAAGATTTATTAAATTTATTAATTAAATAAATCAACTTGTGACAGATTTTGAAAAGTAATACTATAAGATAACATTAATGTGTGACATCCTCAGATAATTACTTTACAAATTGTTAATGTTAATTTTTTTGCATTGATTAATTAGACTAATTGAATTAAAAGTTCAATGGTGGCACAACTAATTCAAAAACAATGGTGAGATGCAAAGCAACTTATCTCATCTTTTTCTTCGCAGATCATAGCCGCGGTGAAGACTCGCATCGGCGTGAAATGCGTTCGCAACGGCTACGGCATGACGGAGTTGTCGGTAGTGAGCGGTTTAAGCGGGCGCGACGACGACGACGATGCGTTCGAGGTTCCAGGATCCGGATTGCTCATGCCTGGTTTTCTCGGCAAAGTGGTTGATCTCGAGACACAAGAGACGCTGGAGGCTGGTCAGGTGGGCGAGATCTGTTACCTGGGTGAGCAAGTGATGCTGGGTTACTGGAACAACCCCGAGGCGACCAGGCAGACCATTGACCAGGACGGATGGCTTCACACCGGCGACATCGGCTACTTCGACGACAAAAACAAGCTGCACGTGATCGACCGCGTCAAGGAGCTGATCAAGTACAAAGGCTATCAAGTTTCGCCGTCGGAGATCGAGACCGTCCTATTATCGCATCCCGAAGTAAAAGACGCCGCGGTTGCCGGCAAACCTGACGAACGTAGCGGGGAGGTTCCCGTGGCTTTCGTAGTGAAGCAACCCGGCGCCAAGATCACCGCCCAAGACCTACAGGAACTCGTTAAAAGTAAGTTATCACTCAGCCTGAGATTCTTTGGCATCCCTCGCAAAGATTCATAAAGACATCATTCATTTAAAAATTCTGACTATGAAGAAATCTCGGACACAGGTGCGCGTTGTTTTGTTCTTTTCATAAGTCATACTCGTTTGACTTTTCATCACAGTGAATTTTTAGTTCTAGATTTTTTACACTTAAAAATAAGAAACAAAAAGATACTTCAAAGCAGATAAAAAAATACATGGAGTCTTAATCAAAAATTATAAATTTAATTAATTATTTGCAAGGATAACTCGGTACAAATGCGTTGTCGCATACTTTAAATGTGTGAGCAAAACACGGTGCATAGAAATGAGCGCATGATATAATAGCAGCATTTAACATTGCGTTACATTATTAAAGGCATTATTAGCGACATTGCATTGTGATAATGTTAAATACTGTGATCAGCAAAATTGTTAGTTATCCCCGCTGTCTCTGTAATTTAAATACATGCCGCAGCGAGAGACCGTGGAAATATTCCGCCCCGTCTTGACATTTTAATAGTAAACGCAAGCCGAGCGACGACCCTGTACATACATTAACCGAGCAATTCAATTTATCTTGCAGAGCAACTGTCACCGCAAAAATGGCTGTACGGCGGAGTGCAATTTGTCGATGCCATACCGAAGAATCCTGCCGGCAAGATTCTACGCCGCGAACTACGAGCAATGATTTCTAAATTGTAATAATAGAAATCGCATATCGATGGATTTGCGCTCGTATAAGCGCAAGTATAAATCCCCCTTGATGAAGATCGAAAGAAGCATTAAATCAACAAAGTACATAAATTGTAATATTGTTAACATTGCCAAGACCGAATTGGCAATCGCTCAAGAAAAGTGTCATGATGCGTGTATGTACCAAGAAATATTTCTGCGTTAACGAGCTTCTCACTGCGTAGGAAGAGTGATTAAGCGCCGCGGATTTCTTCGTTGCAGAAACGCAAATTTATTGCAGCCTTGTTGTCACGTTGATTAATTCGTGAATAAACCGTTGAACAACCGTGACCGATTAAATATACGAGCGCTCGGTGGACCAGTTCCATCCTCCCGAATGTAACGAGACGGCACAGCGTGAGGGTGTTTTGAGTTATATTACACGATATCACTCTTGCGCCCCGACTTGCAGCGCTACGAAAATAAGCGAAGAAACCTGTTGCGTTACACACGTCGACGAGAAACGCGAGCGCGTTCTCATATTTCATCAATACCTAAACTTCTACTTTTTTTTTCCTTTACGACGATACGAGTCGAGCTTCTTATCAATCCTTTCAGTGAATCTCTGTAGTAATTCGAAAAATATCTACGATTAATTATTTAAATAAATAATAGGTATTTTGAATAAAGACAGCTTATCTCGAAATCTTTCATATTAAATTACCAGCATCAATTTCCGTTATTTTCCCTCTTTTGACAGCTCCATTTTACAGCAAGGCCTTCGTAGTTTGATATGATACGATACAAAATGTCTGATCTAAGCCATGATTTTTCAGACGGATTTAGCTGAGCTTCACCATGTCACGCGTTATGAGTTTTGGACGACCCTGCGTAGATGAAATTCTCATCCCTCACGGAATTTTTTTAGCAGAAGTAGATTGATTTCGAAAAAGGAAAATTGTTCGACTCTCATTCGTCACCTATTCTAAATGCATTCAGTGAGCGATAATTGATCATGATTGATAATGGCTGCGTCACTTAACCGGAATCAGCGGAATAGTTAACCGTTACCGGAAAAGTGCGGCATGAATTGTCGGCGGTTTCGACGAATCAACGCGATTATCGATGTCCGGTGACGGAGAAATTTAAATTTTACGCCGTGGACTCTCTCCTATTACGGTCCCTAGATACAGATAGTCGTACGCGAAGATACGTATATGTACACGCGCGTGGGGGGTGTGCACGCGTACGCGTATGTAACCGTCGACAGTTATATGTACGTGTTCATGCCTCGCGTTCCTGTTGATTTAATTACGACGATTGGCCTGACAAATCTAATTGACGTGCATCAATTATTTGGCCCGCGTTCGAAGGCCGTTTAATTCCCTATCCTCTTCCCGACGAGAACACGGTTTCGCGGTAGTCCCATTTTTCAGGGAACTTTCTCTCTCTCTCTCTCTCTCTCTCTCTCTCTCTCTCTCTCTCTCTCTC